CTCTTTTTGTAATTAAACAAGTTTTTATATTATGCAACAAGAAAGGTTCTGTGCAGATTTGAATTCACTATGAAAGTATTTAAGTTTCGACAAAACATGCTTAGAAATTAAATTTGCAAGATGGATTCCTTTACTTTATTTTGCACCTTTATAATTATTTTGCTTGTCTTTATTTATGCTTTTTTAAAATAGATTTCTTCACTTTATTTTGTATTTTTATAATCAATTCGCTTATTTTTTATTTATATTTGTTTATGGATTTATATTTTTATATATGTAATACTTCAATTGTTAATATACAAGAGGTGTCAGAATTGAAGAAATGCATTAATAATTATCTCTAACAAATTGCTAAAACGGAACAAGAAAATGCATATCTTGAGGAAAAATTACACCAAAACGTTCAAGAAAGTATTCAACTTAAAAAAATTCTGGAAGAAGAAAAAAATAGAAATTGCTGCCTAAACAAACAATTCATTTATTCGGCATATTTTAATAAGAAAAAACTTCAAGATGAAAAGGCTCGATTATGATCAAATTATCAAAACTGTGTTAATAAAAATAATATGTATTTTAAGAAGTATTTTGAATACCTTCAGAATTCAGAATTGTGGGTGAAGGCAGAGATTAAAAAGAAAGACATTCAATTAAAAGCTATGCGAATTCTTTTGAAAAATAAAATCATGGAGTGCAAAACTCAGCAAGAAAAGATTACTAATTTAGAAACAAGTCTTAAGGAATTACCAAGTTAGAAGATAGAAATCACATCTAAACCTAAAATTCAATATAAGCAATTCTATTCCAAAGCCAATAATAGACATGTAACATGGTACAAACTAAAGATGCTTGATAAAATTATTTTTGAAAAAGTATCGTCAAATTACATACCTGACGAACCACTGATGATTGACAAAATTGTTGATGATTGACGAAACCTCAGACGATTAACTAAACCCTTGACGAAACCTCTGATGGTTGAGAAAACCTTTGTCAAAACCTTGACAAACTGACTCAGCAACAAAACAAGACTCTGTTGTCATACTTAAGGATATGAGTAGTTAATATAAATAAACTGTAGTTTATTGTAAACCTGTAGTTAACTGTAGTTTTAAAATAAACTACAGTTTATCATAGAAATTCTACAATTGTAGAATATGCATATTATGTAACAAAAGTTCGTACATGTGATCTGTTGATATATATCAATATTAGTGATGTGCTCATACGTATAGGAATATTTTGGAATTTTTAGAATATTTTGAAATCTCATAATTCTGGCCCGCATTAGCACCAAGCTACCATAATGCAGGCCAGAATTCCATGCGCATGATGCATATGAAATATGAAAAAAGGCTAATTTTCCCATCACTAATCAATATGTTTAAGTCTGATTAATATGCGTTTTGATTTTATAGAAATCAAATATTCAACCGTTATCAACTTTAAAGTTTACAAAATGAATTACATTATCAATTTTCTCATCCAAGTTTTTACAACTATTGCACTTTTATTGATAGTATCTGCAATAATTATTGTCGCGAATGATCGTGAAATCCGGATCATCATGAAATTCCAATTTTTAAAAATTTTTGTGATATATTTTTTTTAGGCTTTTTTTGAATCTGGACTAGTATTTAGGATTAGGGTTTATAATAAAAGAGTATAAGTAGGTTTTGTTAATGTTGTGAGGGCTTATATTTTTAAATTAAGGCCCTAGGTTTCACGATGATCCGATTTCATCATAATCCGTGACAATTATTAGTCAAGACAAGCCAGGTAAAATAAACTCGAGACTAGAGTTAATGAATTTCAGATTCAAATCTTTTTGATTGATCACATTGAATTACAGCTATAATTTTTACTCCTACAACTATTGAAATTATCAAATATTCCAGAAATAAAAATAAAACAATATCAACTC